AGACAAATGTAGAGCAAAATTCTAACTCAAAGAAGAAAAAAAACAACCCAGGCTTACTGGCCTGACAGAGACTGGAGAAACCCCAAGATTATGACCCCCGGACATCCTTTTAGCTCAGTAATGAAGTCACTCCTGAGGTTCACCCTTCAGCCAAAGATTAAACAGGCCCATAAAACAAAACAAGACTAAAGGGGCACACCAACCCAGGGGTAAGAATGAGAAGGCAGGAGGGGACAGGAAAGCTGGTAATAGGGAACCCAAGGTCGAGAAGGGGAGGGTGTTGACATGCTGTGGGGTTGGCAACCAGTGTCAGAAAACATTATGTACACTAATTGTTTAATGAGAAGCTAGTTTGTTCTGTAAACCTTCACCTAAAGTACAATTTAAAAAAAAGAATCTTATACCAAAAAAAAAAAAAAATATTGTGTATGCATATAGCAGATACAATAAATACACTTCCTGTTATTGAAACTAAAAAAAAATATCATTTAATCTGTGGAAGTGAGTGAGATCATTGATAGGTAACGAAGCGGACTGAGGTCAGAACCTTGAGAAATTCCTAATTTAAGGGAACAGAAGGAAGGAGCCACTTTCACAGGAAGAGGAGTTGTCAGAGAGGGATGTGAACATAGAGTCACTGAAGCAAATAGGGAAGGCGAGTTTTCAGAATAAAGTTGGATATTAAGATACCAATGGTGGTATTTGAGAAAGCAGTTTCTGTATGTTTATGGGGGCAAAATCTAGATGAAAGGGATTATTGGGAGAGTGGAAAATGAGGAAGTGGAGGTAATGAGTGAAGATTACTCCTCTGAAAAGGATACTGGTCAATGAAGAAGAGATGGAATGGTAGCTAAATGAGGAAACAGAATCTTGGAAACCTGAGAAACTTGTAGTCAGAAGAACTAATAATAAGGAAGACTAAAGATGCAACAGAGAAAGGTGATAAACAGGATAAGATTCAGATATAGAAGCTGACTTCAGAAAAAAAAGAGGAGTACATCTTTCACCACAATGAGATAAAAGGAGTGAGAACTGGAGAAAAATTGTTGAGGTGTGGAGGAAAACAGAGGGAAATCATTGAATAGGTTACCTTGGTTTTCTCAATAAGTGTGGGACATGAGCATAGGGGCTTAAGGAAAATTAAAAAGATTTTTAACCACTGTTACAGAGAATCTGATGAATACAAATACAGCCATGCAAGTTGGAGGGCCCGTTTGAAGTTGGATATATTGAATTTGTACTGAGCCAAATCAGCAAACTCTTTCTTTCTCTTTTAACTTTCTCCAGCAAGGCTTTGCGGCCTGGGAACAGTAAAGTAGATAGTGGGAATTACATACTTTGTGGGATGTGAGAACTCCTGCCAGGTGTTCTAAAACTAACAATTAAAATTATAAGATCTATCATCTTTGAAAACACCTGTTAATTTTTAAGTTGGATCTGGCACCAATTAAAATGTACATATTGAAAAAAAGAAGCTACCAAAATAGTAAAACTGCCAAGCAATTTATCTGTTTAGAAATCTAAAACTTTTTACTAAATATATTTTGCTGGCCTGTTTTACTCAAAATGATTTATTCATATTCGATTTTATGTTTTTATAGATTTGAGTTTTTTTTCCCAGTAAGTCATTTCATAAGTCCAAGTACAAATTCTAGAGAAAAATTTTGAGACTGTTTTCAATCTCATCCCTTTTATTGTCTTAATCATTTTTCTTCTTAAAATAACAATAATAATGTTTCGGCATTTATAATAAACTTTAGTTCACAGAGAAGACAATTTCATTCTTTTGCTAAATGGACTTCCCACCTCTTAGAGGATGCTTACTTATATCCTTAAGATATAGGTTCATATCATCCTTTCTCACTCAAGCATTTATTCACTCAGTTCTGGGGATTCGAGATGGTTAATGTCTTTGCCCTCAATAAGCCTACTTTGTATATTTTTAACTTGATTTCACAGAAAAACTCTAACAAGATTCTCGTAAATTGTTTTAAATACAGTATGGTTTTGAAATAATGTATTACTGTATTATTAAAAACCAGTGTCATTTGTATGTGACAAATGACAGATTAGGGCGTACTTCAAAATACATTATTTTATTTGATACGCAACATCTTGTAATAATAAGGAAACTAAGCCTCGAAGAAGGTAAATGGCTTACCTAAGTTCGCATAGCAAGTTGATGATGGAGAGAGAACTGAAGTCCATGTTGTCTGACTCCATCATTTTTTTCCATCAGACCTGCTTCCACTGATCTTAGTTGTCAAATCCAATGGATTTGCAGTAGTGCAAATCCAGCCCACTTTGTAATTATTTGTTGACTTCTCTGAATCATTTATACTTTTGACGTCTTACTACTTCCTGAAAATTCCTCTTCTCTCTACTTCTATGACATTTTATGCTTCTGATCCTCATAACTGTTAAGACTTGTCTAGTTTTATCTTTGGCCTTCACCTGCTTTTTCAGTGATTACATAGTTTTAAGTAGCACTCCTAAACAGATGATTCTGAAATGTAGATGTGTAACCTTGACCTTCTTACTCAGTTCCAGACCTGTTTTCAACTGTGTGCTAGACATCAGTATCTGAATGTCCCACTAACACATTTTTTTTTTTTACAGAAGAACATCTTTGGTAGTTTTTGCAATCATTTAATATATGTTTAAGGGCTTACTATGCATTATACATTTGGCTAACTGTTATAAGGAATGAAGACATGAATCAGACGTATATTCTTATCAAAACCAAAACCCATTGCCATCCAGTCAATTCCCACTCATAGCAATCCTATTGGGCAGAGTAGAACTGCCCCCATAGGGTTTCCAAGTCTGTAAATCTTTATGCAAGCAGACTGCCACATCTTTCTGCCATGGAGCTGCTGGTGGGTTCCAACCGCGGACCTTTCAGTTAGCAGCCCAGTGCGTAACCACTGTGCCTCCAGGGCTCCTGATTCTTATAAAGAATACATAAAACTTAATGCGTTCCAACTTTTTTATTTTGCTTTTTGCACCATTGGCCATGTGGTAGACTCCTCAAGTTCAAGACCTCAGGGTGCTCTTTGAACAGTACCATCCTTGATTACTAGGATAATCTCCTAATAGGTCTCTTCATCTATACTTTCTCTCCTCATATCCAAATTCTACCTTACCTTTCTCTCAAATGCCACCTGATCCAAGTAGCCTACCTGAGCACCGCTAGATGGAATTCAGCTTTTCCTTCTCTGAACTCCATTCCATGAATTCTTTCTCGGTACCTCTTATAGCACATATCACTTTCTAACTTGTACTATAGGTGTTTGTGTTCATGTATTAGCTAGACCAGGAATTGGCCTTTTTTTTTTTTTTTTGTAAAGGGACAGATAATAAATATTTTAGCGTCTGTTGGCCATATAGAGTCTCTGTCTTCTTTGATTTTTAATTACAGTCCTTTAAAAATATTCTTAACTTGAGGGCAGTACAAAAACAGGCTACTGGACATAATTTGCTAACCCTTGATCAATATTAAATGCTCCTGGTGGGATCTAGATCTGATTCATGTTTATATGTCTTATAACATTTATCAGAGTACATTGTGCATAATAAACCTTTAAACATGTGTTAAATGGTTGCAAAGAACTACCAATGAGTCTCTTTTACAAAAACAAGCCAACAAAAATAGCTTTTGGGGAATCTTTCCAAATATACCCATCTTTAGACTTAATAATTCATCATCTAGTTAAATATAGTTGCTTAATCCAAAACCAAACCCATTGCCGTCTACTTGATTCCAACTCATAGTGACCCTATAGGACAGAGTAGAATTTCTCCATAGCGTTTCCAAGGCTGTAATTTTACGGAAGCAGACTGCCACATCTTTCTCCTATGGAGTGGCTGGTGGGTTCGAACCACTAATAATTTGGATAGCAGCCAAGCACTTAACCAGTGCACCACCAGGTCTCCTTATAGTTGCTTGCATGCTTGTTTTACCAAAGTATCATAGGAGCATTTAGTTAATGCACCCTTTATTCAAACTTGAATACAGAAAGTATATAGCTTTGGGTTCAGGAGTATTTTGGCTCTCAGCAACCAGTATGCTCTAAGAGTTTTCACAATAACAGACTACAAGAATGCTGGTAAATCTTGTTGATTTTGAAATGGTTCTAAATACATTAATTGGTAACAGACTTGAATATCCACTCTTCTATACCATTCCAAAATGAGTGTAATTTTTGGTTTATAACCAATATAGGGAGCTCCCCACCCCAAACTCTTACAGTTCTAACTCCTCCTACACAAGTAAAGATTCAAGAAAACAAAAAGAAAGGAAAAAGAATATAGTGGACATTACATTTATTTTAAACTTCTGGTCTGATTCTCATTAGCCCATCCCTGGTTTCTTTCAGATCTTGGAGATGTCACCAGCTTTTATTTCATTGGCTGACATCTTCTAAGCACTTGAATAATCTTGCAGTAATTAAGCTGATTATATGGAGATACAGTGGCTCTTAAAGCCTCTACTCTGTTCTTAGTATTGAAAACATATGTTGTACTGAATCGTACACCTCAAGGGCACCCAAATTGAGTTCCATAAAAAAATCTTTAATATAGTTCTACCTACTCGGCTCAATGGTGCTGAATTATGTTTATTTTGCATTTTTTAAATAATACTTTTGCATAGAACAAAACCTACCAGTGAGCCCAGTTTAAATGAGGTTGACCTCATGCCTGTCTATCTCAGAGGAAGAGACAAAAAGATTATCCTTCCCACCCTCTTCCAATCTCCCCAAAAGACTTTGTTAGGCTTAGTAAAATGTAGTAGGAGAGATGCAGAGTGTCCTATTTGAGAAAATAGACTTTATTACTATTTCCTTACCCCTCTCAGAATCTTATTGGGATTTCATTCCACTCTCCTCCAAAAGTCTGCCACTATCTCAAAACCTGTTAGAGACTAGATGCTTGCTAAGTTAAGGCTCAGCTAAAAACATATCTTCCAAAGCAAAACACAGTCTTTACTGTCTTTGTAGGAACCACTGTCTCCATTCATAAGAGGAGGTCATTTCTTCCCAGGAAACAATGTTATTTATGAAAAAACAATAAGAAAATTGGAGAAGCTAAATACAGATCAGGTAAGTAATATTTGTTTTAAAACTTATTTTGAATGTATATAATTTTGAATTATGATGTTTTAATGGAACTAAAATGACATTCATTTGTCAAGTGCCAGGACTGCTAAGTGCCAGGCAAGACCACCATGAGTCATGATAATACGTCATTATATCTACAGCCCTTTATACCATCCTTAACACTTTCACATCCATCATCTCATGTAAAGTATTATTGCTCCCTTTGAATGAACCAAACCAAAACCACACCTGTTGCCGTTGAGTTGATTCCAACTCATAGTAAACTTAAGGGAATCTGAAGTAAAGATATGTGAAGTCACACAGAAAATTAATGATAGAATTTGAACTTAATGCATGTATCCCAAATCCTGGCATTTTTTAAAAAAAGGGTCTCACCAAAAATCATAATTTAAAACACTATAATTTTTCCCTAATTATTTTAATATCAAGTTCATTTGAAACAAACAAGCATTTAATATATTTAGATACGTAAAATATACTGTAAAAGATCTAGAAAACTAAAGCTTAAAGTTTCGTTTTTAAAAAATCATTAAGCTTAACTGAGAAACCAAGTAGTATATAAAACTCATTAGGGAGATGATAATTCCATGGCACCTAGAGCCCCAAGTCCTTCATGCAGAGTTGCTATTGTAACCAGCAGAGATTTTTACATTGATCTGCTCAGTGGATACAAACATGTCCAGTCTAGACTAAGCCTGAATTGGGACTTCTGGTCTCTTGGACTTTCTTGAATTAGGGCAGTTAAATAATATAAAATGAATTTTCATCACAAAATAGTTTTTATCATCTATAAATGAAATTGGATAAAATATGCTGAATTTTCCTTTTTAAACTTCCTGGCACAAGAATACATCTTATTTTTACGAGAACTTATGGGTAGTTGTTACCAGATTCATAGGAACTAACACATTACTTATTTTTTTTAAATATTTTATTGTGTTTCAGGAAGAAGTCTACACAGCAAATTAGATTCCCACTTAACAAGTTTTATACAAATTTTCAGTGACATTGGTCACAATTTTCACAATGTGTCAGCATTCTCATCATTTCCATTCTGTTTGTTCCGTTTCCACTGATCTAGCTTCCCTTCCCTTCCTTGCCTTCTGGCAAATGTTGACAGTTTGGTCTCATAGTTGATTGTTCAAGGGAGCACATTACTCAATCTATTATTTGGCTGAAAGGTGACCTCCAGAAATAGCAACAGTTCCAAGTTCAAAGGGTATCTCAGGGTGACAGTCTCAGGGGTTCCTTCAGTCTCTATCAATCCAGCAGGTCTGGCCTTTTTTAGGAATTTGGATTTTGTTCTACATTTTTCCCCCATTCTATCTGGGACCTTTTATTGTGTCCCTAGTCAGAATCATCGGTGGTGGTAGCCAGGCATCACCCAGCTCTTCTGGTCTCAGGTTAGAAGAAGCCATGATTCGTGCGGGCGATTAGTCCCGTGGATTAATTTCTCCTTTGAGTCTTTAGTTTCCCTCACTCTCCTTTGCTCCAGAAGAGTAGAGACCAATATTTGTATCTTAGATGGCCGCTGTCAAGCTTTCAAGACCCCAGACGCTACTCACCAAACTAGAACGTAGAACACCCTCTTTACGAACCATGTTATGCCAATTGACTAAATTATCCCACCAGACCGTGGTTCCAAGCCTTTTTATCCCAGTAAACCAATCCCACTAGTAGTTTGGATATATCTAGGAAGTCTCTGTAACTGTGCCCCCTGTGTGCTATAGCATAAAATAAAAAAACCAAACCGGTTGCCTCAGTTGATTTCGACTCATAGCGACCCTATAGGACAGAGTAGAAATGCCCCATAAGATTTCCAAGGAGCAGCTGGTGGATTCCTTTGGTTAGCAGTCGTAGCTCTCAACCACTGTGAGACCAGGGTTTCTGTGTTTTAGTATGTATATAGATATATATGCAGCCCACACAAACATGCACATACATATGCCCACAGACAAACCTATACATGCAGGTGCATTTACTCTCATATGTCTTCCTATACACATGCATACCTATCTACCTATGTAATCACACACATATTCCCTGGTTGGTATTACTGTTGTTGGAAAACTGCACATGCCATAGAATTCACCAAAGTTGTCTCTCTTTCCGTGTACTTTTCAGTGTCTGCTTTCTCTGTGTATATCCATTCTTGACTGGATATCCTACTGCACTACCAGAACAATGTTGGACATATTTTAAACAGTAGGGAATGTTTGAGGCACATCGTTTCACACTATTTCCAGCTTCTTGCTTCAAACAGAATAAACAAATTTTCTAATTTTTGATCCCTAGAGGAAGAGATTGAATATCTTGTATATTATTATGGAGCCCTGGTTGCGCAGTGGTTAAGAGCTCAGTCTGCTAACCAAAAGGTTGGCAGTTTGAATCCACCAGCTGCTCCTTGGAAACCCTAATGAGGCAGTTCTACTCTGTCCTATAGGGTCCCTATGAATCGGAATCGACTCAAAGGCTACCTTTTTTTTTTAACGGTATATTAGTATTGCTATGCAGCTGGGAAAATTAAAGAAAGACTCATTTAAGAGAGTGCTGTTGCTACTTTGAAGCTCTGGTGGCACAGTGGTTAAGAGCTTGGTTGCTAACCAAGAGTTGAGCAGTTTAAATCCACCAACCACTCCTTGGAAACCCTATGGGGCCGTTCTACTGTCCTATAGTGTCACTATGAGTCAGACTCAAAGGCAACAGGTTTGGGCTGCCACTTTATGTTAACTTGAATATTTGTTTAAATCTATTTTTTCTTATAAATGACTTATATAATTTTTGAGGTTAGAAACTGCCATGGGAGGCTGCCCAAGGTAAAAGGAACCATGCAGATGAAACAAACCACAACTGCTTGTCCTAGTTGAGTTTCCTCAGAGGTAGAGATACACTAGGACAAGCTGAATAAAATCAGAGTCTGGATGAAACTGCTCATGACTCATGAGATTAGTTCAAATAGCTCTTAGGAAATGGGACTTGTCCGGTAAAGAGGTCTTTGTAGTAGGAGGCTGGTAAAGTGATACGAGTTGTAAGATAATTACTGATTCATATGATTTGTGCTTTGTGTTAATTCTTTTTACTCCATCAAAGAGGAAAAAAAATGATAAATCAGAAATGTTTGACCTTTTGGATTTTGAAAATCCAGCTGCTGATATGCTTCAGAAGTATAAGTAATATATGAAAAGCTTGCTTTAAAACAATAATTTTAGTGGCCAGGTGTGAGAATTGAAAGTTGAAAACCTGGTAAGAAATTAGTGGTACCAATATGTGGTTCAGAGGTCAAATAGGCTTAGGAAACTGCAAAGCACTCCAAATAATGGGACTGCCAGCATTCTATTGAAGAGTCAACTGATATATTAACAAAGGAAGATAACTGAGAAATGGGTTTTGTTTTCTTCATTGCCCTCTGTTGATGTGTCTTTTCCAAGTGTTCCCTATGTTGCTTTCTGAGGAACACGTTATTTTTTTTTTTCAGGAGGAATTGTATTTCAGTAGTTTACAAGCTCTGGGTGAAGGTCAAACACTGGGTGAAGTTCTTCTCAGACTACCAGTCTGACTTCATTCTTATCTAATGTAACATGAAAGAACAGATAATACATTTACTCCCAGTGTTTGTACAAAAGTTGCTGATAGTACACAGTCGAACTTTTCCTAAAGTATAAGATACTAGTGCTAGCATACTTGTAAAGTGAGTTATATTTTAAAAGAATCTAAATAACTAATTCTAGAATCAGTTCCATGAACCAATTCTATAACCTTTACTATCTAAATGTTTACCAAAGGCAACTTCTATTAGTAAAATGCGTTTCTTTATTTTTTTTCCTTTCAAAATATTTTATGTGTTATTTTTAAAGGTAATTTTTGCACATGGACAAAATTTTAAAAATTGTAAAAAGGTATACATTGGAAAAAGAAGCTTCCCTATCCTGATCCTCTTATCATCCAGTTCCCCTTCCCAGAGGCAATGACCACTCTCAATTAAAAGTTTGTCTCTTCATATAAAAGCAGTTATATATGTTTGTAAATATATATGTATGTATATATATTTTTATTTACACCAGAGAGAGCATACTATAGTCACACCTGTACACCTTGCTTTTTTTATTTCATATAGTTTAAAAATTATTCCATATAAAATTTTTTAAAATATTAAGTGCTTTATTAATATAGGTCAGCTTGCCATAGTCAAAAGGAAATAGAGAATTGAATCTATAATTTCAAAGTTAATTGTACGTGTATAAATGTAGCAAAGTGATTCAAAATAGAGTATTTTTTGCCTTTGAATACAGGCTTTCAGATACCTCTTATCAAAGTACAATAGTAACGAATATTATAGCAAATTCACTTGAAATTCCCAAATCGGAAATAACCAGATATCTTTTTTTCATTCCGTGCTCTGTACTTATCAGAAAAGAGACATGACAAGGAAACAAGCAGATAGCAAAGATTTAGTTTAAAAACAAGTCTCAGAATATCTTGCGGACAGTACAAATTCAACCTCATATCCTGAAAGAGCCCTGAGCTAGAAATCAAGAGTTTCAGTCCCAATTTTTCGATTAACTTGCTGTGTCATTATATCACCTTACTTCTCTGGACTTCAGAGTTTTGTTTTTTTTTTCTTACCTGCAAAATCAGGGGGGTGAATGACAATGAAAATGATGATGATAATGTCAGAGGGTGAATGATGATAAATATCATTATGGTGTTGTTGTTGATGATGATGATGATGATTAATGTTTATTACTCACCTACTCTGTACTAGGCACTTTACAGACATTAGTGCACTTACTCCTCACAGCACCCGAATGAGACGTGTACTATTTCCACTTTTATAAATGAGGAATCTGATGCTCATAAAGATTGTATGTATATTTGTGCAAGGTCACAAAGTAGTAGCATCAGAGTTAAAATCCATGATTTCTGGATTCAGTCACTGTTTTTCAATTTTTTTTCTTAATTCCTGCTCTATTTTCATGCGCATAAGAGCTCCACCCCCACCCCCACTGCAGTTCTAACATGCTTCCTCATATCGGAAATCAATACATTGTATTATTTTCTAATTTTATATCTATCTACATCTTCAGTATCATAGTATTTTTATGTAATTAGATCTTGAAATGTCTATTAAATCATCAAAGAGAGATTAATTAGTATTCATGATACTTTCAGTGTTAAATATAACTGGAATATTAATTAATCAGAACATGCAATTCCCTGGTCAATCTAGGTAACTATTTAGATGGTTACAGCCACCCAATCAAATACAAAGAGAATTCAATACAATTTCTCTAATGGAATAATTTGAAAAATAGTATGTTACTTATTAAAACTATGAATCCTAAGGCATGAATTCTCTTGTGAAAGAACACACTAAATTAAAAATACAAACTTATTTTTTTCTTTATTAGTAATTATTACTGTCACTGGTTATTTTTGGCATGCTTCATTGGCATGTTTTAGGAGTGCTGTCCTCAGGTTCGAAGGAGCCCTGGTGGGGCAGTGGTCAAGCACTCGACTGCTAACCGGAAGGTTGGCAATTCAAATCCACCAGCTACTCCTCGGGAGAAAGATGTAGCAGTGTGCTTCCGTAAAGATTACAGCCTTGGAAACCTTACGGGGCAGTTCTACTGCCCTATAGGGTCACTATGAGCTGGAATCGACTCGATGGCAACCTTTTTTTTTTTGATATCCTCAGGTTCAATGTCATCATCATTACATTGTCCAACAACCCCAGATCATCCACTCTCCACACTGTCAAGAATCCCATTCTACTCAACAAATCCAGACCATCACGGAAAGTGATTCAATCTCTACAAACACTGGAAATGAGCTGTGTCATGGTGGATCAAGCCAGATACATGAAGAGGTAAGAACAATCAGCTGATTCCTTATCAAGCTGAAATAACACTCTTGAACCGTTTTCACACCACTGTGCATGTACCTACATTAAATTTTCATCAAAATATTGAGGTATTTGTGTTTTGTTATAGCATTTAAAAAAAAAATTCATCTCCTCTTGGAAGGCAAAACAACTCAGGTCAATTAATACATTAAACCTATGAGGGAAGTAATGAACTGATAAACTAATACCTATCCTGGTGGTGCAGTTGTTAAGAGCTCAGCTGCTAACCAAAAGGTTGGCAGTTCGAATTCACCAGTCACTCCTTGGAAACCCTATGGGGCAGTTCTACTCTGTCCTATAGGGTCGCTATGAGTCGGAATTGACTCGATGGCAATGGGTTTTTAGCTGATTCTCAGTGCTAAAAGGAGCCCAATAGTTGTGTAGCATTAAATATTTTTATGAAGTATTGTATTTAAATAAACAATGAATTGCAAATGGTGTTATCTAATTGTAAAAGTCACACACACAAGTTAGTTATGTCTTCCTTGAAAATAATCTATGTTAACTGTAAGTCAAAGTATGCATACATTTTATTGTATCAACAAAATAGAAACTAAAACTCAGTTGCTAAGGCGAAATCTCCTGGGATACAATCCTCATGACTAAATTATGTTTTGATGACTTTGAAATCTTGTAAACAGCTGCTATACGAGTGTTAAAGAAAAAAGATTTTCTTATATCTTGGTTAAACTAAAAATAATATCTGGAACAGTGGGGAATCAACCATCATTGGGATTTTTCAGATCTTTTTTCCAATAAAGAAAACTTACTCAAATTGACCTTTCTTATAGGCAACTCTTACTAAAAAACAAAAGAAAAAGAATAAATAAAGAATCCTGCCCACATAAGGACTTGTTTTTTTTTTTTTAATATGAAATATACATGAGATTATTTCTAAGGACTGAAACTTTGAAATATATCATTTGGCTGTATTGGCCAAAAAGAGCCACTGAAGATTTAAAATTCATGCTTTTCCATTTTAATGAAGTCTAAAATTGTCTTAACTCTGAATACCTGCATGGAAATATTAGTCTCTGGAATTACCCTAAAACACAGTCTGGAGGCTGTTAAATTTCTTACATTAAGTGGATTAGTAATGATGAAAAAAGTCATTTTATTAGGTTAGATTATTTTGAATTGTCATTTTTATAGGTCAAAATTATTCAAATATCAGCAATTTCATATGGTTCAATCTAATACTTAACCTTGCTTTGCCTTCGTGTCCTCATCTGTAAAATAGAGATTCGTTATCCATTTCTCAAAGAGTTATTGCAAGAATAAATTATGTCTTGTATGTTAAGCATTTAGCACAGTTGAGTGTCCATGGTAAGTACTTAACAAATGGTAGCTATTAGTTTGTAGTAATAATTACTATCCATAAATATGTACTAAAGCTTCATGCCAGCTTCTGTGAGAGATACAAAAGTAAGACATTGTAATATTTCTTATAGGGACCTGCTGTAGAATAGAAGTGACAAGGACATAAAACATAATGCTTTAGAAACAGAAGAGAGAAGAAATTAATTTTAGCTGGGAGATCAAGGAAGGCTTTGTTGAAGAGGTGGGAATTGACCTAAGCTTTGAAGAATGGGAAGAATTTCCGTACATGGTATTTTAGTATTACATAGAGATACCATCATAGGAAGAGGGAATCACATAAACAAAGTCATAGATTTGAAAAAATACATATTGGGTTTCAGGAATAGTTTGGTTTACATGGCATGGAAGACATATGATGGGGAGTACTAGTGTGTAGGGATAACATGATTATTTAGGCCCAGATCATGAGGTCTTTGAATGTTAAATTAAAACATTTGGGCTTTATTTGGTAGGCAATGGAGAGTGTGTGAAGATTTTTGAGAAGGAAAATGCTATTACAGCTATGCTTTGGGAGTTTAACCCTAGCAGCTCTGTGTAAGATAGCTTGGCATATTGATTCATTTTCTTCTTACAGAGACCAGATGAGATTGTTGTCTTTACTGTTCAGACAAGGAAATCGAGGTTCAAAGAGGTTAAGTTACTTGCAAAGGCTTACATAGCTAGCATATGGTGGAGCCAGGATTCATACACAGGTAGCCTGACTCCGTAACCCACTGAGAGTCCCCCCTTGAATTTGGGTCAGTTATGGGGAGAGTCCTTGGTCAAGAGTGTAAACTTGAATAAAGCACTGGATTCACAGTCTACCATTGGAAAGTGTATTGGTGATATAATAGCAAGTGGACTAGCTTCAGGCAGGAAGACCTGGATTCTAGTCCCAGCTCTGTCCCTTTCCAACTGTGTAGTCTCAAAAAGTACTAAACCTCTCAGCAACATCTCCATCTATGAAATTTGGATAATAATGTCTACCTCACGTGGTTAATGTAAATACTAAATTAAAATATATGCTAAAAAGTGTTTTATAAAATATAAAGTCTACAACAGAAAACATTACCATGGAGGAATATTTTCAGAGAGAAGACTATAAGGGGCTATTTTAGTAGTCTAAGTATAAAACTTAAACTAGAATAATAACAATAGAATAGGATGAGGAACAATTATCAGAGATGAGAACAATATCACAGGATTAAGAATCTTGTCCAGTGGCAGTAGTAATGCTACAATATTATTTCACTAGCTTAGTACATCTAATAATGTATTGGACCGGACTAGATATTATCCACTTAGAATATGAGCAGAGTTGGATAACTAATATACTACTTTTCATTTTATTACTCATACTTCAGTTGGAGATTTCAATTTTGCCTTGTTAAAGGCTAGAGGCTTTTTATATGAATATTTTTTTTTCTTTATCAATATTTTACAGGAATAAAAGTGGAGGCATTGCTGACAATAGAATAGTGCCCTGGAAAGCTTAGAATTAGTAAATTCACTTGTATGGAGGACATAGGATTTTACTCCCCATTCCTGGTCAGAGTGAGGAAAGGGTAACCTAGTTGTGTGAAATCCATGGACAAAACAAAAACAAAAAATCCATTGCCATCGAGTTGATTCCAACTTATAGCAACCCTATAGGACAGAGTAGAACTGCCCCATAAAGTTTCCAAGGAGCCCTGGTGGTGCAGTGGTTAAGAGCTACAGCTGCTAACCAAAAGGTCAGCAGCTCGAATCTACCAGCAGCTCCTTGGAAACTCTATGGGGCAGTTCTACTCTGTCCTATAGGGTCACTATGAATCAGAATCGACTTGATGGCAACAGGTTTTTTAACCCTTACGGAAGCAGACTGTCACATCTTTCTCCCATGGAGTGCCTGGTAGTTCATACCAGCAACCTTTTGGTTAGCGAGCGCTTAACCACTGTGCCACCAGGGCTCCTTTGGTATTTATGTATCCCTTGTAGTTGTGATACATGGGTGGCAGAATCTCTTCTAAAGGGAATAAAGCAGACTTAAATTAGGTTCTTTTAAAACTAATGGTTGGCCCATTTTTAGAGTGCACATTTACAGATGAATAGCAATTTGGAGGTAGCATGGTAAAGTGGAAAGGACATAGGCTTTTCAGTTCAGACAGATTAGGGTTTATAACCTGGTTTTGATGAGCTGCATGACCTTAGGCAATTAACTGGACTGAACATCAGTTTCCTCATCTGTAAAAAGGGGAAAATCATCGTAATGTACAGTGTATCCTATGATATGGTAAAATGAGATGAAATATGTTAAGCCCCTATCATACTTCCAGGCACATAGCAGATGCTGAAATAAGTGTTTGTTTCTTGACCTTCTTCCTCAGCCCCCTATTCCCAAATGTTTCAAACTATCAGTATAAGTAATTGGTTCCTATTGATATGCTATTTTTAGTTGAAACGAAATCACTTTAAAGTGCTTTCCCCAAAGCAAACAGCATTCAAATATTTTTCAAAATCAGGTGTCTAAAAACCTTGCTTGAAAATTTTTTTATAAAACTAATATATGTACGTTTTCCATGGTCCACTGTAGCAACATCATCATTTTGTTTTCCAATTTAAAATACCACACAGTCACATTTATTCCCCTGGGGAAATTGAGAATAACGTGTTGTGGTCATTTTCTTGCCATTAGCAAGGAACAGATAATTTCACACATGTTGCTGACAGGAAAAAGCTCAGCTAAATTCATTTTCCAAGTTGTCATGCAGGTGGTGTTTATAAGATAGTGATGATACCAGACTCAAATAATTACAACTCTCTATGATTTCTTGGCGTGAGGCTTCTAGGAAACCTTTGAAGTAATGGGAAAGATGTAAAGGGAAAGGTCCTGCTCACTTGGATAGTGCTGTTGCCAATGGAAAATAACTTGTGATGCAATACCTTCTTTCCATCATTTGAAAATGCGGTCTTTGTTAGCTTTAAGACAGCACCGATCTTAGTGTCAGGTGCTTTTTCTGGCGGGTGTCCAGGAAACTTGCTGCAATATTTATTTAACATAGTTCATTCACTAATGATGGAATTTGAAGCTGGTTTGTTCAATAAACTCAGCAGTGTTGTCTGTCCCCTCACTCATTAATATGTGGCTCTAGACTCTCTCCATATTTATTACCTTCTTCATCCCTATTATTGAAAGTGAGTGCCTTTTGTACAAACCTCTATCATCTGCTACCCCATCCAAACATTTAATTCATATCTGCTTGGGGCACATCATTTCCCAGCATTGCCCTTATCTGTCTCCTATGACCTCTTACAACCTTCTGCCATGGTGCCCTTTTGAACTCTTGTTCTGTGGCAAGCTCTCCTTTCCCAAAAGTTGTTTATTTTCTCTTTTTAAAATTAGCTTTTATTTTTCTATCAAAATAATGCATGTACATAGCTTGAAAGGTCAAATAGTATTAAAATGCATATAACAAACCACAATTTGCTGTACTAATCCTCTTCACCTCACAGACCTGATCCCCAGAAGTAACTATCTTCCTTTACACTTTTCTTCTGTTATTTACCTCCATATAACTAAATAGTATGGATATTCTTATGCTGCTTTTTCTTGATTAACCAATGTT